CTGGGATTACAGGCGTGAGCCACTGCCCATGGCCCAAATAGGCTTTTCTCAAAAAAATACATACAAACTGCCAACGGGTATATTGTTTAAATGCTCAAAATTATTAATCATCAGGTAAATGCTATCAAAACCACAATGAGATATCATCTTATCCCAGTTACAATGGCTATTATCAAAAAGAAAAAAATAACAGATGCTGGCGAGGATGTGGAGAAAAAGGAGCTCTTCTACACTCTTGGTGAGAATGTAAATTAGTACAGTTGTTATGGAAAACAGTATGGAGGTTTCCCCTAAAAACTAAAAATAGAACTCTTATACAACCCAGCAATCCCACTACTGGGTACTTATCCAAACGAAAAGAGATCACTCAGTATATCAAGGGATACCTATACCCTCATGTTTACTGCAGCACATTCACAATAGCCAAGATATGGAATCAACCTAAGTGTCCATCAATGGGTGAATGGATAAAGAAAATGTGTTAAATATACAAAATCGAATACTCCTCGGCCATCAAATGTTCCTGTCATTTGCAGCAACATAGATGGAACTGAAGGTCATTATGTTAAGTGAAATAAGCCAGGTACAGAAAGACAAATATTACATGTCCTCACTCATATGTGGAAGCTAAAAAAATTCATCTTATGGTGTAAACAGTACAATGATAAGTTGGTGAATGAGTACAAACATACAGTTTGTACACACAGAAGGAGTAAGTTCTAGGGTTTGATAGCACAGTGGGGTTACAATAATTAACAATATTATATTGTATAGTTCATAACAGCAAGAAGAGAAAAATTGAAATGTTCCCAACATAAATAGTAAATGTTTGAGGTGATGAATAGCCTAAATACCCTGATTTGATCATTACACTTGTATGGATATAACAAAATATCACTTGTACCCATAAATATGTAGAATTATTATGTGTCAGTTTTTAAAAGCATCAAGAAGAAATCAGCAGCCTAATTCAGCATATCACTTAAGTACAACGTATCACTTATGTGAGATGTTGACAAAATCACAATCAGTAATTTTTGTACTTCTATCACCATTTAAACCATATCCACATACCTCCTACACTGTTGTTTCCTTGATATTGTTTTAAGTTGACTCTTTTTTACTTAAACTTATTTGTAAAAACTTATTTGTAAAACGTATTTGTAAAAAAAAAAAAAAAGGGGGGGTAGGGGAGGCTGGAGGCATCTGGGGCCAAGAAACTAAGGCAGGGCAAAATGTGAGGCCCAGGCAGGGATGCTGGAAAGGGAAGAGGGAGACTACAGGTGGTAATGAAGGGAGAGCTGAGGAATGGGTGGGATTAAGGAAGGCCCACAGTGAATGGGTGGGGCAGGGGTGAACAGCCCAACAGAAACAGATGTCAGGTAAAACAGATTGTCTTCTGGACTGTGCCAGGCAGTGACCAGCAAGAGAAGCTCAAGCAACATCTGTAAATCACCTAAAATCATCTCATGTACTACCAGTGATGGACATTCCCACATGGTGGGAATCACTGCCTGATGCTCTATGAACAAAGAGCCGCAGTCTTTCATTCTTCCCCTTTTATTATCAAAAACAATATTACATATAAACAAAGGAATGTAAAAGTCTACCTTACTTGTCAGGTCTCCATGAATACACCAAAAACTCAACAACAAAAAGCAATATGACTTCTTTTATATACAACTCATGCTTCTTATCTCTATGAGCTCTTTTATTTTGATAGACAGTCCCCACCATAGCAACCATCTCCTTAGTCAACGTCTATAAGCACAGAATACAATCAGAAGAATTGACAAACGCCCAGTAACAAACAACCATAAAAACAGCATCTGTTATTAAGGAGAATAAATCATCAAAATAATGTCTGAACAAGCTGGTAGTACACTGTCATATAAATTCTTGCATATAGTTAAGTATAGCCCTAGAAAACAATACCCTTTATTTTTTAAATCCTTACCCTTAGCTGAACAATGACAGGGGAGACAAAAGATTAGTCTGCAATCATCAAGCCTACGCTGTTATTTCTTTGTAAAGTTTATTTCAGCTCCATGATGTGTTCTAATGTTTCCTCCCTTTTCCTAGGTGTGTCAGATCACAGATTTACTTATCCTCCTGTCACAGCCAAGTGAGTGACTCAGGCCAGCACACAGCTCATTGATTATTTCAATTCCCTGGGCTAAACTCATCAGTTCCCACTTCTCATTTCCTATATCCTCCTTACTTTTTTGAGGCCTGTTATTTTCAAGATGACATAAGGCCCAACAATGATAAGGGAGGGCAAAATGATATAAAATCTTAAAACAGATCAAAGGAGTTAATTCTGTTACACTTAGAAAGATCAAATCTAAGGAAATTCTGTTCACTGCCCAGAGAGGCAGGTTCATCTTTTATTCATTTATTCATTCATTCCTTCAACAAATGTTTATTGAGCGTCATTCATGAGTTAGCTCAGCCTCACACACCACTGTAAAACATGCCATTTTCTATTCAATGTTAGGTAACATTCGTTACGAGAGGACAGTTGCTATAGCTGAAAATTCTTTTTGAATATGGATGTGGGTATGCACACGTTTAATACTTTAATACCAATTAACCAGAACTGGGCAACATAATCAACACCCAACCTCCAAACGCCTGGAAATCAGACACCCCCTACTTAGTCAAGAGCTACTAGTCTAAAACTTCACATTAAGGAAAACCCTATAGATTGAAAGACACGTAAGCTTTCAAATTACAGCCACATGTGGTGATCAAACATGCATGGAAGACCACATAATTCTTGCAACCAGCTTTTGCTATCCAAGGGGACAGGTTAATCTATCAACCCAAAAATTCATTAACCTGGCATTTCCAAAATACCTAATGCTATATATGCACTAACACCATAAATTTCCCCCAAATTCTATGACATAGGCATTATTATTAATATTCCAATTTTTTAAATTAACAAATTGAGGGTTGGTTAAGTATAGCCCTAGAAAACAATACCCTTTATTTTTTAAGTCCTTACCCTTAGCCATTTATTCACGGGCACTTAGAAGGCAATGGAGCTAGAACTTGAACTTAAGTTTGTGATTCATGAATTCAAGCATTTCTAAAAGATAAAAATAAATTGGTAGTATTATAGCTTATACATTAACATCTAGTTTCTTCTAATTAGCATCATATGGTCGTGTGAATCTTGTTTTAATTCATGTAAGTATAAATTGTCTCTAAGCCCCTAACCATTTTTAATTGCACTTTTCTTAGTTCCTGGTTATTATATACCACCTGTTCCTGTCTTTCCCAGGATGTTTGTTGGAGAGTGAGAATTAACTGTCTTGGTAATGAAATCCACCATTTAAAGAGTACTTTGTTTGTGCCATACACTGGGCTAAGTATTTCACTTGTAGTTTCTCACTTAGCCCTTACAGCAACCCTCTGAATTGGTACTAGTATTATCATCATCACCTCCTTTTTTTTTCTTATTATACTTTAATTTCTGGGGTACATGTGCAGATCACGCAGCATTGTTACATAGGTATACACATGCCATGGTGGTTTGCTGCATCCATCCCCCATCATCTACATTAGGTATTTGTCCTAATGTTATCCCTCCCCAATACCCCCACCCCCTACTATCCCTCCCCTAGCTCTCCCACGCCCCCCAATAGGCCCCAGTGATCATCACCCCCTTTTTTTCTTAAAAAACAAAGGAAGGAAAGGAGGTACAGAGAGGTAAAGCAACTTGCCTGAGGTCACACAGATAAGGAGGATTCACACCTGGTGGTCTCTTCCCCCTTCTCTCAGTCTACGATCCTCATCAGCATGAAGTTCTGGTTTCCATCTTAACACCCTCATCTCAAGTCTGGGCTCCCACTGGCCTGTTTCTCAGTGCTAGTGAGAAACTGCTTTTAGTGTGTGCTGGTTTGGTTTCCTCCATTTTTGATTTCTCTCCTGATAAGGGCCATGGTTCACCTGCTCTTTGCAGCTCTCTCCTTCCACCTGTTATTGATCTCCCGGCACACTAAAACTATTCCTGATAGAGATGAATTCACCTTGGGCTGCGTAGCAAGGCTTCCCCAGGGCCATCTTTCCCATCAAGAGTTTGATCTCATTCTTGCCAAAATCTCTTAAAGAAGCCAAAGCTTTTTAAAAAAACATTCAATATTTTAAAAAATCAATTACCAAAACAGAGTTCACAGAACATCTGGATTTGTGTCACATTATCAGGAGACTTTAATTGCATTAATATCTGATGGTAAAATGTATTAAGGTCAGATTAACCTGAGGAATAAAACTGATTTTCTCTTTTCTTTCCAGTAACTGCAAATTCTATACCAGCTCTTTCTACAGATAATCAACAAAGGGAGTAACCTCAGGATAGACGTTAATAGTTCCGTGATGCTAAGAGGTGCAAAGGGAGGAACTCAGCATTTACTAAGCACCTATTGTGTGCACCAGACATGATGTTATATATTTTACATGTATGAATTAAACAATAGCTCCAGAGCAACCCTAGCACATAGGTTTTACCATGCCCATTTTACAGATGGGTAAACAAGCTCAGAAAAATCACATAAATCAGACTAAAGTCAGTGGCAGAGCTGAGACTTGAGCCTGAGTCTGTTTGCCCCCCAGCTTCTGACTGCAGGAACCATTTCTCCTTCTGCATTGCTTCTCAGAGAGTTCTATCAAGAGCCCTGCAAGAATGGCCTTAACTTGTATTTGACTACAGTACTGAGCTTGATGAGAAACCCAGCAAGAAATGAGATCCTCTTATACAGATGCTCCCCCAAATGATCCTGTGCTCCCAATTCCCAGCTGGGTCATACAAGTCCCCAGAAAAATAGCCTTTCTTTACTTTCCATGGGTTTGCTACTTGCCTCTGTTTCATTCCTTCTCTCTCTTCTTGGCCCCCCTACCCTCTGTTGTGTCTTTCTGCATGTCTCTTTATGTCTCTGTGTGTACCCATCTCTCTCAGTCTCTCTCTCACACAAGCATACACACATTCAGGATACCTCGATCCAGCAGCCGGAGCAAGCGGAGATACCAGAGATACCACTGGTCCCAGAAGCGGTCCGTCATCCCACCCTGAACTCATCCTTCACAGCCAGTCCCCTCGGCAGAGCCTCATCCCACCACCGCTGACTCGAGGAGGCCGGAATCACTTGATGCTGGGCTAGCACACAGCCTGCTCTAAGCAAATGCCTGCCTGCAAAGACAGCTACAAGTCCTCCCACACAGAGGCTGACTGTGCCGGGAGCCGGTTTCACAGCAACAAAGGAACAAGTGCAGAACAACGCCGTGTGCAGACCGAGCCTGCCTGGACCCAAGGGGAGGTCGGAGATGCGTGGGAGGGAGTCAGGAAGGGCTTTCGCAAAGACGCGAGGTTTGCAGTGGTCTTAAGAATGAAAATCCACAATCAAGTCCATCTCTTAAATTTTATTCCAGTATCTCCGGCCATTCTGGCTTCCATGCTTCCCACACCAGAGACCAGTGGCTCCTCCAATAGAATGTGGGATGGGAAGCCAAAAGCTCAGCCATTTTGGACTTTGAGGCCAGTCCCGGAGCCCGGGAGCCTTACTGCCTCACTGTCGGGTCCAAGGGCTCTCCTTGCCCAAGACTGTAGGACCCACATGACCAGAAAAAGGCCACAGATCCTTTTTTCCTATGTCCCTTCATGGAACCTCTGTTATAGTAGAGACAGCATGGGCTCTAAAGTCACACAGTCATGGGACCAAATCCCGGTTGCCACTTAATACTTGCCTGGACTGGATCAAGTTATTCAGTTCCCTGTGCCTCAGCTTTCTCCTCAGTAAACCAGAGAGAACAGTATTTGTAAGCCTCAAAGCAAAAGAAGAATATAATGTTTCTGGTGTTGCACCTGGTAGATAGTGGCAGATAGAAGGTTCTCCCTTATCTCTCAACCCCTCTCCCTCTTGCCAGACTCTCAGTTCCCCACATGTTCATATATCCCATGGTTTTCTATTGCCAGGCCTTTGCTCCTGCCCTTCCTGCCAGTAGTATGCTCTCCCCACTCTCCCACCTCATCGTGGCCAAATCCTCCTGATTTTTCCAACAAATAACCCAAAATGCCACAGAATCCAGGCAGACTTCCTGATCTTCCTTCCTTTATATTTTATTTTTTTCATTCCTCCTTCTCATTTGTATATAACTCTTCTCCCTTACTTGCCCATAAATGCCATGAAGGTAGGATCTGCTTTTTAATCATCTTCGTGTTCCTCAAAGAACCCTGAACTTTGCAATTACTCGAGTGGTTACTAACTGGACAAATGAACATGCAAGGGGGTCTGAGTCTGTTGTTTTCAGGGAAAGGAGAAGAGTAAGCTGCAGAGATCTCAGCCCAGGAGCATTGTCTAAGGGGCTTTGGGGGATGACAGGGTGTCCAGTCCTTATCCTGCTCACAGCCCCTCTTACAGTGGGCCAGTCTGTGACCCACGTGACTGGAAGTGCTATTTACCTAAATGAAACCTGAGGATTCCCCAGGTCTAGGACGACCTTGTTCTCCAAGCCTAAAAACTACTCAACAGCCACCTGCACATTCATCACAGCTCTGTGCAGCCTAGGCCACACCGGCAATGCCTCCCCACTCTTCTAACAGAAATGGTGGTCTCTCAGGCCTCCTGGCCTCTCCATCAGGCAGCTGGTAAGGCATGTCTCCCTCAGTGGCAGCTCTTCCTTGGAACTTATGCCTCCAAGATGAGACAAGCAGCAGGTTTCTGATGAACTCATATTGGGGAGGAGGCACATCCAGGGGGCAGGAGCTAGAAGGGAGAGGGAGAAAGCGAGCAGAGCCACAACCTCCACCACCTGCCCCTGCCTGCCAACTGCGTTGTGGTTTCTTCTTAAAGAGCAGCACTGGGTCTGAGTAGAGACAGCCCTACCACAGAAGCTACGTCTCAGGCTCTGTTAGCATTATTTTCTTATTACCTTAAATGGACAAGACTCCAGTGTGTAGTTAACACAAGAATGCAAACCCCTCCTCTTCCCTCCAGAGAGAAGTAATCCGGTGTTTCTCCCTTCACAAAAAACAAGAATCCATCGCTCACATGTGGCCAATACTTTTTTGTTCACAAAGTACTTTCACAACTATCATCTCCTGTGTGCCCAGCAAGATCTGTGGATGGGAATCACTTTCTCCAGTATACAGAAGAGAAAACCCATGTTCCAAAAGATTAAATAACACTCAAGGTCACACAACTCGTGGGTGCCCCTCTGTCTCCTCCCTGAGAGTTTCTGGGGCTCTAAGAAATTCCCTGGGAAATTATGATATATTTCACTGAGACATGGAAGCCCTCATAGTAGGGCAGGACCTGGGGAAATACAACTGTTTCCTAACAGGAATCCTGAGGGAGGCCCCTCCAGGGCAGCACTGACATGCCATGGGCACAGGTTGAGTGGAGGGTCCAAATGTGGCCACTTATTAACTAAAGGCCTTTCATCTTTTGCTTTGGCCCCTGACTTATAACTTGCAGAGAGAGTGCATCTCCAAATAAGAATGCCAAAAAGGCTTTTTCTAACACAACTTGGAAGAAATCTGAAAGGGAGGCTCCCATAGTGGCAGGAGACTTAGAAAGAGAGGGGCAGGGGAAGAGCATCTCTCACTGTAAGGGAGAAAGTCCCAAAGAGTGCTCTAATGGTGCTAGTGCTACAAGTCTCATTCTTGGGCCTGGAGAAAGAAGCTGGCCCTGTTCCCCTCCCTCCAGTAATTAAGGGCAAAACATTCCACACCGTCTCATTTGCAGAGGGAAAGGGAATAAAGACTATCAAGAATAATATGGGTGTGAGCACTTCCCCCACAAACAGTGAACCTAAGAACATAAGCAATACCCATCGGGTCAGCCCCAGGGTGAACCCATTCAGCCTGGAGTTTTACTCAAGATTGGCGTCAACCCATCAAGCTGGACTCCTTGGAGCTCCCCAGCCCACCACTGCTCATTTCTCCAACTCCCACAGAGCCTCATAAGTCTTACCTGAAATGCAGCCCTTCCAGAAGTTGAATAAAATGTTCCAAGAGACTGTCAGCATTGCCATTTAACTGAAGTGCAATTAGAAAGGATATTGGCCAGGACACAGCCTTATTAGTAGGTTTTTGTTGTTGTTTTTGTTTTGTCTTATACAATGCTTCCACAGTTGTTCCTTCTTTCATCATGGTCAAAGCAAGCACAGCTATTCCCATTGGCATGTTTCCTCCAGCCCACCCAGATGGCTACAGAGACATGTTTTCCAGGAACAGGCTATGTTACCAGGCCAGCAACAGCCCATGTCATCAGGCCAGCAACACCCCATCCACTCCCGAGGGCTGATGCCCATCTGGATGTTCAGCAGTTACTTGATATTATAACATGGATGTGTTCCTTTCTCTTCGATGTTCCTTCTTCTTTCCTTGGCACTGTTCTTTCTCCCTCTCTTCACCCGCCCCAACTTGAAAACACTGTGTTCCCAATCAGATAAAGCCAGCACAAGTGTATGGAGCAGAAGGCAAGCAGCACGGAGGGAAGAGAGATCCAACCCTATCCCAAAATCTTTCCCACTCATCTCCTGGGACAACAATGACCGCTGTTCCCTCAGCAGCACTGGCCAGCTCCTCAGACACATAGACCTATCTGGCAAGTGAAGGCAACACGAGAAGTCACACAGTTGCTAGTGTCTGCAAACCGAAGTGAAGACCATCCACAGACATACAAATCTCCCCAACCCTGCCCCAGGAAGTGGGCTCCACTTGGCTGCCATTTTGCCCTGCAAGCTGTGCTTCAGTTGTAACATGAATCAAACACTTCAGCAGACAGCATCCTCAGCAACCTCCCACACCACTTCTGTCCCCTTGGCGATTAGCGCCCAAGTGGTAGAGTGGAGCCCGTGGCAACACATTCTCAGGGATGTCATTTCAAGGGTTGGTTGGACCGCTGCCAGTCTCTCCCATGAGAGCTTAGTGTCTCCAGGTGATTGGGCTTCTTAGGTCCACAGCCAAGGACAGTATCTACAACAAGAAAGTATCAACTAGACACTGAAATTCAAGCCCACGTCTCCCAAGAGGCTGTTTCCAGCTAACCTCACACATTCTCTATCTCAGAGGTTCTCAAAGTTTAATGGGCAGAATCACCTTAGAGGGTTGGTTATCCATGCAGATAACGAGGTCTCACTCCCAGATGCCTGCATTTTTAACAAGCTCCCGAGAGAATTTTGCAATGGTAATCCATCCACTTCAGTCTCTGCTCTCCTCTCCTACCCTCAGCACCAGCTTCGTGTCACTATCTTGAATTCTAGTGTGTACCCCACCTCCCTCAACACCCTTAAAGTGCAAAAGGAAGGGTGATTCTGAGCCCCCCATTAGACTAGGCTCACCTGGAAGGCAGAAGGGGCTCTCTCCTCTCAAGGCCCAGTAGCGCGTCCCACATGGAGGGGTGAGAAGCTGCCAGCCAGGAGGCTGAGAAAGCCTCCCCAGGCTCCAGAAAGCCTTCATTCTGCCACAGTTCCACTTCACATCTGTACAATGGCCTTAAATGACACCTCAAATATCAGGTCAGGTAGAGAGAAAGGCAGAAGCTAATTATTCCACCTTGCCTCAGCTTTTGTGTAGCTTTCATCCTGCTCACCTCCGACCTCTGCTGAGATATTTAACTCTGCCTTGGCCAAGGCATGCCCAGCTCATGGAAGACAACTTTTCACTGCCCTGGGCTCTAAACCACCTTCTTAGGTGGTAAAAACCTGATCCCTCCTTACCCCTTCTCTGAGGGCTTCTAGTTCCCCCAGCAGTCAATAAAACTCCATGTTACACTGAATCTCTAATACAGTATGCCACCCCAACACACCCCACTGCCACTGCCCACCTAAGGGCCAGACCCGTCTCCTCTTTCATGACCTTATAAAGCTCACCCATCCTGGGCCCAATCCCCTCTCCAGTAAGTCCTGTGGAAAGTACCTTGACAACCTTATCCCATTCAAGGTATTTATGATGCGAGCTTAACATTTAGGCCCTCAGAAAATGTTTCTATTTTGGTAAAAGATAAAGCCTAAGTGAAAGGAGGGCATAGAGGAGTTCAGGCCTTAGGTAAGCAGCGGTGGGGGTGGATATCTGGAGTCAAGGGCAGAGTCCATGACTCCCTTCCCTAGGTCTTCACAGGCATGTCCCTGTGAGGCCATCCTGTGGAAGTGAATCACAGGAGCTGGTGCTCCTTTCATCCTCCCTCCCTCACTGCCCTGACCTCCCATTTCCTACTCAGCAAGAACACCTGGTTGGCTGCCTTCCCCGAGGCATCTACATTGCAAAGGAGTTTTTGGGGGAAAAAAGAAAAAAAGCAGGTAAATATTTGGAGACACCATCTCAGAAATGACCCATGAGGCCTCTGCAATCTGGAGTTCACTAATACCTTCTCTGTTTCCCTCACAGCCAGTCACACAGTTCCTCCATCTCACTTCCACCAAGAACCGTTTAGCTGCCTATCAAAGGAGGTGGTGTTACTTCATCACTGACAGGAGGCTGTTCACCCCTCAGGAGGTGTGGCTTCTCTTGAATGTTCCTCACATCTCTCGGTCCCTGAGCTCACCATCAGAGAGTCAGGAAACTAAGTTGTCAGTCACAATGGCTGAAGCCTCACTCCTCAGCCCAGGCGGAGCCCTCCTGTGAACCTCTACCTGTTCTCTCCATCCCACGCCCTTCTACATCCCCTCCAGGAATTTTTCCAGATAGCCCCCCTCAGCAGGTCTGCCCAGTAAAATCAGGCACCACACCATGAGGACTGGAATTGATAATAATGAATGTGAACTTCAACCAGATCAAAAGGAACCCACTGTATTGTCAAATAAATGCTAAATTTTGGTTAGCGTATATCTAGAGCTCAACTTTTTTTTCCTACTTAGTCCCTTTTTTCTATTGTTCCTTGCATATATAATTTGTGTGTGTTCCACAGGGCCACTCACTGTTAAATCAGAATATTTGACTCACCTGAATGCCCTGGCTCCCCGTATACATACACATCGAGCTGGATAATGAAATTACCTGCATACTAGCCAATTTGAATTCTCTCTTCCTTGGCTCTTATTTTCAAAAAGGAAAAAAAAAAAAACTATATGCAAAGATCACTTTACTTTTCAACAAATGAGCTCTCCTTATGGTTCTTAAAAATAATTGAGTCTCATAAATTCTAGAAACCTCTTTATACCTTTTATACCATTAATTTACAAGTCTTTGGGGTATTGGGAAAAGGCTGAGGCTTTGGAATCAAACCAACCTGATTCAAATTCTAACTCTTTTTCTAGCTCACTGAATAACTTGGGGCCAGTCACTTAACTTCCCATATCTCAGTTCTTCATCTTTTACATGAAGGTAAAACTAATCCCATCAAACTTGAACTTTTCATGAGGAAAAAACAAAACAGCATATAAAATGCAAAGCACTACACTTAATACATAGCAGATACTTTTAAAAGGTTAGTATATTCTCCTGCAACAAAAACAAGCTCAGATCAGATTGAAATTCTCAATTCATGGGACCTGAGTTACAATCAAGTCACCATTCTAAGTTTCCCCAAGTTTCTCTACCTGTCCTTCAGGAAGGGAAGATTCTTAGATCTTATGTTTCCTCTAATTCCTGTGACACTGTCCTTCCCTCACTAGGGAAATAAAAATGTCCAACTGCCTCACCTTATCTGATCTCCTCTTTCTGACACAGGTTGGAAAGTTCCACCAGAGATTCAATTATGAAAACTGCTTTGACTATACCTTGGGACAAACATGGCTGACTCTCAGCACTGAGGAGAAGAGAAACTACAAAGTTCCTGATGGACCATCCACATAGTGAACAGCAATGATTTGGCATCCCAAGAAGTCCATCAATCCTGGCCTCAAATCATGCACTCAGTAAAGCCCAGTTAAAGATTTCCATGGGGGAAAAATATTATAAAACTTCAAGAAGAAAAATTTCTATAGTCTTAGGATGGGATGGTTTTCCCAAGCAAGATGCAAAACTCAGTACATTGGCTTATATACACATTCATTAAATTTTCTGCAGAATATACAAATCACCAAAGGAAAACAGGAGGCTGAACAACAGTAGTAGAAGGACTACCTTTTACTGTATATCTTCTTACACATTTTGAATTTTGACCCTTGGACTGTATCACCTAACTCTCTAAAAGACATTTTAAAATAATGGAGTCAATAATAGATACAACTGTTCTTGGAATCTAGCTGCTCTGTTGTGAGAAGGCTAAGCCACATGAAAAGGCCATGTTGACGAGAACTATGGCTGCTGGTTGAGACCCGCAGCTAGTTCCAGCCCCCTCCCAGCCATGACGGGAAACCCACCCTGGAGCTGCTAGCTATCCCAGCACCCCAGCAGACACTACATGGAGCAAAAGAATGGCCTGGTAAGCCCCATGATTATGAGAATGATAAATTGATGTTCTAAGTCACTAAGATTTGAGGTGTTTTGTTACAGGGTAGGAGGTAATAAAACAGGGAATCATTGGTGCATGCAGAGCAAAGTAAAGCCCCATGATCTGATGAGACTGCCAAGGAGATGCTGAAAATGATTGTGCCTTCTTTCATCTAGAAGGCAAAAAAGCATGATTAGTCTCAGGACCACATCTATTTATTAACAGCTTTCTCTCTACTCTTCTTAGAATTCTGAAGATGGGGTTGTCACAGAAGGTGTCTAATTAATATGCTTACTTGAATTATAAAAATAAGTTAGGCTTTCTCTGACAGGAAATAAGTATGTCTGATTTGGCTACTTGCTTTGATAATCAGATTTGCCTTTCCCAATTCATATAAATCCGTAGCTCCAAGATTTTGAAGAAGATATGTTTAAAACCTATTATAATATGCTATAAAATATATTATTTGCAATCGTTTAAACTCATAGTAAAAATGTTTACGTATCTACTTAAATGTGTGAAGGGGCATAAAGTTTTCAATATTCTTTTAAAGCATACAGAAGCAAAAAAAGTCTGATGCTTATTGAATGACAGTACACTTTCACAAAGGAACATTATGCAGCTATGAAAAAAGAATGATGAGGCTTTTTGTGAATTAATATGAAAAGATCTTCAAAACATACTGTTGGATAAAAATGCAAGGCATAGAGCAGGGCAGTATTCACCTGCTTTTCATCAGAAAAGGATAATGTAAGTAAGGATTCTGATTTGCTTATATTTCTAGAAAGAAATACTGGAAGGATACCCAAGAAACAAATACTGATGGTTATCTATGGTAAAAGTGGCTTGGTAGACAGGTATGGGGGTCACATCAAGACCTATTTATTTTGCACTAATTTTTGAACTGTGAGTACATTATATTTTCATATATTTAAGTCCTTACAGAATAAAATAGATAAAATTGCAAAAATGTGAACATTAAAAGGTAATCCAGGAGGTAAATATTTGCCATGTTTGCAACAATAAATTATACAAAGGGTTAATATCTCTAATTTACAAAAAGTTCCCAGAAACCACTAAGAAAAAGTTAACAACCTGGTATAAAAATAAGTAAAGATTATGAACAGGCAACTCACAGATGAGGAAATACAAGCAATTGATAAAAAGTAAAAAGATGTTGACCATTACTAATGATCAGTGAAATATAAATAAGCAATCACAGTATGCCACATTTTACCTGTAAGACTGTTCCCTCCCCCCAAAAAAATACAACAAAAACAACCAACCTGATAGGAGAGTAAATTGATGTAATATTTTATAAATCAATTTGGCAGTACCAATCAACATTTCTAAAGTATATAGTCTTCAACCCAGCAATTCTTTTTTTTTTAATTTTTTTCTTTTTTCTTTATGATATTGTAAGTTCTGGGGTACATGTGCAGAACACACAGGTTTGTTACATAGGTATACATGTGCCATGGTGGTGTGCTACATTCATCATCCCACCATGTACATTAAGTATTTCTCCTAATGCTATCCCTCCCCTATCCCCCCATTCCCTGCTATCCCTCCCCTAGCCCCTCAGCCCCTGATAGGCCCCAGTATGTGATGTTCCCCTCCCTGTGTCCATGTGTTCTCATTGTTCAACATCCACTTATGAGTAAGAATATGCAGTGTTCGCTTTTCTGTTCTTGTGTCAGTTTGCTGAGAATGATGGTTTCCAGCTTTATCCATGTCCCTGCAAAGGACATGAACTCATCCTTTTTTATGGCTGCATAGTATTCTATAGTGTGTATGTGCCACATTTTCTTTATCCAGTCTATCACTGATGGGCATTTGGGTTGGTTTCAACCCAGCAATTCTTCTAAGACTCTCACCTACTGAAATAGCTGTACTTACACACACTTTGCAGTATATTCTATAATAGAAAAAAATAAAAAGGAAAGAAAAAACCTAGATGTCCCACAATAAGGAACTAATAAGATAAATTATGACACAGTTTACATTATACTTAGAAACTATTAACAAGAGAAAGCAGTTTTATATGTAGTAACATGAAACATTCCATAATCTATTATTGAATGGGAGAATATGATTTGTGAAATAATTGGAAACAATTTGTATTATCCCACTTCTTGAAAATAGATGTAAGTATACAGATACACACTATCAGTATGCATTTCACGGTGCATAGAAGAAGAGTTCTGGTAGGATATACACCAAATTATTAACAGTACTTATCCCTGAAGAATGAAGAAAGGTAATTAGAGAAGTGTGTTTTATAAAATTTTATGTTGTTATAATTTTTTTGCTATAAGCACTTGTTACTTTGGAATTTTCAAAGCATTTAAATATTGAAGGCACTGCTAAAGTGGCAGCTTGAATCTCTTCTGAAAAAGGAGGTTCCCCCTCACAGCCATGGCAGCAATTTCCTTCTCTACCCACTACTCATCAGGTCTCAAATGTGAGATGGACTTCAGAGAAACCACATGTCATAGTAAAAAATTCACCAGACTTATGTATCTGTTCAAGTGGCTGGCAGATGGAGTTCTATCACTGTATCATGAGAAAATGCTATTCATTCCCCATTCTGTTCCACATCCCTTACCACAAGAGTCAGAATTGGTTCTCCGTAACAAGCATTCGGGAATAACCTCAACTACCCTCAGACCATTCATCGGCCACATAGACACCTTATAGGACTTTGGTCAGCAATGAAAACTATGTTTCATCCCAAGTTACAGCTCTAACCAAGGGCAGTGACTGTCCAGAACTTTGTCTTAAAGATTCTGCAGCTACTTGCAGGATGGATGGGGAAAGAATGATGCCATCAATTAGTGATGTCTGCCAAGGAACTGTAATACATAGGCTTTCAAGTCGGTCATCCCTGCCCTTGTTCAATGGGCTCTGACTCTCTAAACCTCAGACTTTAAAACCTGCCAACTCTACTTGGTGTTATGCTTCAGGTGGGGGAAGCTGAAGGTGGTGGGAGGTGGCACGGGTAAAGTAAGGTGAAAGCTGACTGTGACTGTGTCATTATGTAGTATGTCTATTGGAAGACTATGAAGATGTGGGGTGTCTGAGGAAGGAGAAGGGGGCCCTCACAGGTGGATCTTTGGCTCCAAACAGCTGCATATGGAAGACTCTGAACATCTGGTTGCAGTGCTGGTCTGAGGTAAGCCCTGAGCCTGGATTCCATCTGTCACGTTTTACTGAGCTCATATCCCAAAGACTCATCAATTGTGCCCATGTTAAGAAACATGCCTTTCACAATTTTGAAACCTCCAAGTGCCCTGTTAATTGGCAATTCACTCATTCCCATAACCAAAAACAGAAAAAAGAAGCCAAAGCCAAAAAATCCCAGAACTTCACGTGTTGTAACTAAAAACACTCAATAAACAAAGCTAGTCCTTGAGATCCCTTGGAGAGTAATTGTCTAAGCATGCTTCTTTCTTTCAGCTCGTGAGACAGACAGACGTGCTAAGACTGTATGGAGCTCATCTTGAAAGCATTAATTTTTCCAAACACTGATGTGCAGCTCATGTGCTTTTCCTGAGCAAGTGGCAGCAGGCAGTGAGGAGGCTGCTGAGGACATCGCTCCATGCTGAGTCTGACTGTAGCAGCAACAGGGATTCAGAGGAAGTGGTCATGCTAAAGCTTGGGGGAAAGTTGGGAATTTGGAAGGCAGAGGCCAAGGCCCAGGCACCATGACCTGTCACAGGGATGGGCTGCACAATGCCTATGCACTAACGGATTAGATTACCACTTACAAACTGGAAGAAAAGAAAGCAGAGCCAATATCGTAAAGCCCTTTGAGGCCCATTCCCTTGGAACCAAGTTGGCAATCAACCAAACTATTCTTCCTCACAACCTGTAGCTCCAACAACCACACACAGTGGCCAAGCACCAGGAGAGGTAGGTCATTTCTGGGTGTTGGTCTTTAAACCATTTTCCCTTCTTTTTCTCCCCAATTAGAAAAGGGAATCTACAGTGGACAATGTGATTTGGTCATCTACAGTTAAATTGTTGTTTGAGCCCCAAGTCCCTTCCCACTAAAAGGTCAGGGGCACCCTCCCTACAGTCTGTTCACATGAAACACAACAAAACCAACCACGGAGGCAAGGAGTCTCATCATCTGCCTAACACAGACATACTCAACAATTAGGATATGTCAGAAGTTCTGTCAGACTTAACAAGACAATCTCCAAGTTGATTGTTACCACAAGGCCCATGCATATCCAACATGATGCCAGGATTATCACTGGGAATCAGTGCTACACACACACCAGCATAATTGTTTTGTCACCACCAAAGCTCCGCAGCCAACTGTCTTCAAATACCAATTCTAACACTTAGTTGTGTTAGATCGGTCAAGTTACTAAACTTCTTTGTGCCTCTGTTTTCTGTAAAATGGGGATGATAATAATATTTAAATAACTTCATAAATGTAAGGTGCTTAGATTAATATCTGGCACACAGAAAGCATTATATATGTGTTTATCATTATCATTATGTGATCAGCCTTCATTTTTCCATGCTAAGCTATCTCTTCCCTTTGGACCACTGCATATGCTCTTCCTAGGCTTGAGACATTGTTTCCTATCTGGCCTTCATCTAGCTATCTGCTAATTTTTCAGGTCTCCAGGAAGCCTTCCTGGCCAACTCAGCTGGGCCATCCACCCCTGCATCTGCACCCACCACATCTTGTGCTTTCTCAACCCTGTATTAGCATCCCCATATTATCATCTGTCTCCCCAACCAGGTCCTGTTCATTGGTGTATCCCTAGCGCCTGGCACAGAGAAGTCACTCAATAAATATGTACTGAACAAATGAATGGGAAATAGATGAAGGGCAGCTTTCATCACTCAATAAGCATTTACTAAGTGCCTGCAAGATGCCTATGCCTGGAAATACATGATGGAACAGAACATCAAGGCTGCTTTCCAAGAGCTCACAGAGTTTCTGCCTTCTAGCAGTAACTCCAAAAAAAAGTGGAGGTGGGTGTAGCCCTGCCCAAGGCAGGAGGTCAACCAAGTACCAGAAGGAAGGGGTGCTCTCAGAGGGAAATACAGGTTTACCTAGGATAGGTCTGTTTAACTGGAAGCAAGCAGCAGAAGCTTTGATCCTGTTTATCATGCCTGCATGTGAAGAATTAATGTCACTGCACGGATGAAAAACAAAAAGTGGACTCTTCTTTATGAGGGTGATTTTTTACCCAAGCATCACTCTCTTTCAAGAGAAACACTGGTTAGTTCATTGCATTCATGTTGTCTGCAGACTGTTTTTACCACACTGTAAACTCCTCTGAACAGAAATCATTGTTTGTCACGATCGTATAGTTATATCCCACCCCACTGCTGCCTTCCATCAGCAACAAGCACCTAACGTAATGCCCAGAGTAAAGGAATGCTGCAGATTGCAAAAGGGGCACAATTCACTCATTTGGTATCACTTCTACCCTTCTGCATTCCTCACTATGTTTTTTTAGGATTGTTTAAGGAGTATTTGTTGTTTCTTCTACTTTTCTGAAGTAGAACTGACACTACCACCACCCCACCCCCCAAATAAAGCCAACCGTGGGATTCAGGAGAAGAATTACTTGGCAGTAACTTTGCCAGAGCCTTTGATAGCTCAGGCCCATTGAAGGAAAAATGGAAAACAGAATTTCTACTTATAGTAAGAAAAAGTTGGAGCAACTTTTCCCTTGGAGATTACATCAAAGATATTTGAGGTTATGTTTTCCATACTGGTTGCCCTGAAATTGAGGGAACACAAGAACTTTTCCTCAATGAAGGCAAGCCTGGCTACCTACAGAAGGGCAATGGTGCTGCCAGACCCCAGCCCGGGAAGCCATACAGCCGGATGCAACTGCAGCTGGGAGTCCAGAGACAGCCACACTGCCTCCATCCTCCACCATCCACCCAGAGCCTCGAGACCACAGGCTCATCTTCACTACCACTTTGAGGGTCATCTGTGGCTGTCTTATAACAAATTTCAAAGCTAAATAAAAGTGAGTTGGAAATTACTTGCCTAACATTTCTATTCTTTTTATGATAGTGCAAAGTAAACCAGTAAGGCTGTGATGCAGGGAAAGTCCCTGTACCATGTTTACAGAGGAACTCTGTGAGGATGACTGCGGTGTCAATGCACTAGGCCTGTGGATGTCTGTGTGAGTATGCCTCTGTTTTTCTGTTTTGTTTGGTTTTTGTTGGGGGGGATGTTTTTTGTTTGTTTGCTTGTTTTTTTCTGAGACAGGGTCTCTGTCGCTCAGGCTACAGTGCAGTGGATTGATCTTGGCAGATCAAGGGATCCTCCCACCTCCGCCTACTGAGTAGCTGGACTACAGGTGTATGCTATCACATCCAGCAAATTTTTATATTTTTAGTAGAGACAAAGTCTCCCTGTGTTGCCCAGCCTGGTCTTGAACTGGG